AAAAAAAAAAAAGAAGAGAGAGAGATAAGAAAATACACACACGTAGAGCGGTAGGTACGGAGCGTTCAAAACGCTCGACGTGTATACCCTATACGAGGAGGCACAGATTCAGTTTAATCGTGTCACACACGATTGAAGTACATGGTTGTCGGTTACTCGTGAAACAATGCACGCGCACGACAATCCTCATTTTTGGTTCACTGATTGTCCAGCAGCAAGCTCTTCTCGCACGACTCGATCAGGTCGAAGCTCCGCCTGTCGTCCCTCTCCCCGGCAATCGGCCGACGGTTGCCATCCCCCTGGCTCTTCGTTTCGGCCTCGCACTCGGACTCCCCGTCACTCGACTGGACGAATTGCACCAGCCTCGCGTACCTGTCCGACAAACAAATGGAATGTATTTCACCTTTACACCCCAAGGGTATAAATACATATAGAAATCTTTTCGTATATGTACCTGACGGTATATCAGACCGGCGTGGTTCTCTTGAGCGAGTTCGACTTCCAGCCGCTGTTCCTCACTGCCTCGGGCAGGGGTGGCAAATTCTCCCCGAGATCGAAAGTCACGAGTTCGCGCTGCTGCAGGGCGTACTCCTCCTGCAGGGCGTCCGCTATCGTGCTCACCTGGAGGAAAACAACCTCGTGAATTATGCACCGCCCCAACCCACGCGCATACAAAAGCACCTGCGACTTTTTGCGCGAAATGTGTATTGTTTCGCGCGGAACAAGGCCCCCGACGGGGCTGAATTTATCATGGGCTCTCGGGGCACGATGCGTCCTCGCGGGCTTGTTGTTATAGAGTCCCCTTAAGGGCGCACTTGCAACTCAATGCCACCCCAAATTTACATAAAGGGATATGACTATGGTTAAACGAAAGAGAAAAAAAAAAAAAAAAGGAAACACTTGCCGTCTCCGTGGTGAGGTCGTGGGTCATGCCGTGGTGATAGTGTCCGCAGTCGGCGAGGGCGTTCGGCTGGTGGGATCCGGGGGTCTGCATGTACTCCTCGTACTCGAGGCCGTGGTGGTGGTGGTGGTGGTGCAGGTGACAACCGGGCCCGATGATCGGCTCGGCCCCGGTCTCGTAAAAGTACCTCTTCTGGTGTCTCTCGCACAGGTAGCCGCCATACGGGATGCCAGTGCCGGTGGCGTGAGAATGCGGGGACACCTGGTGGCACATCACCTGGCCGTGGTGGTTGTGCAGGTGGTGGTGATGCTGGAGGTGGTGGTGGTGGTGGTGGTTACGGTGACTGTTGGCGTCCACGTGATACGCGCCGTCGAGCTGTGCACACCATACATATATATATATATATATACATGCATACACACATGTGCACGTGTATACACGTAGGGTATAGAATGTACGAGCACCGAGCAAAAGCAGCGAAATATAGACAGAGAGAGAAAGAGAGGTGCACGAGCGGAATGGAGAGTCGGATAGATAGATAGATAGGGAGGGACGGCGGCAAGTGGGGGGAGAGGGTCGAAAATGCCTCCG